TCTACAACTGTAGACTGAATAGGTGTTTCAAAGAACAGGATAGCAGACATTTCATTTTCCCAGTTTACAGAGACTAACCCTTACTCCTTATTACAGGATGGGGAAGAGGAGAAGCTTATAAGGACAAGACAAATTGCCTCAGTATTTTTTCCTGCAGTTCCTTCATGATCTACTGTATGCAGTACAGATTATTCTCTTCTAGATTAACTTCACTTTATAGGTGTCTACAAGAAACAAACTTGAGCTACCTTTGTAGAAGGTAATGTCCTTTCTTTCACAGTTCATTGGAATTAAATATACAGACTGCAAAATGAGAGAGATGTGAATAGCAATTAAATGCAAACTTTATATGATTATCTAAGTGATTGGGAAGGGAGGTGACAAGGTAGGCCCTGAATATAATGGTGGATCTAAATCATTGACAGCCCTGAAGGAAAAGGGAAGGAGAAGAAACTCCCCATAGAACTTACAGAACCTGATAGGTAGTTCAGATCCATCTGTCTCACCAAGGGCTGGTAACTTCTACTGGGTTCCTCAGCTCCTAGAGTGGCTCTGGGTGGCAATTTGACATCCTTTTCTCTTATGTCTCCTGCAGAGCCAGACGTGCTGGGTGTCTGTGTGTGTGTGTGGAAAGCAGGGCAGCTACCCTGGACTGAGTGGGCTTGATAAGGAAGAGTTACATCTTAATAGCGTGATCCTGGCAAGGAGATCAGAGAGGATGTCATTTGTGGATGTAAGTTACTTTTTTTTTTCTCCCTGTAATTGAGATGAGAATGACTTATCTTGTTTCATTTACAAAGTGTAAATTTAAACTGGCTGATCTAATCTGTTTTTAGTCCTTTGTTTTTTAATAAACTGTGTTTCATAATATTGGGCTTGGGTAGTTTTCAATTGATCTTGAAGCAAATCACTAGGGCGAGATACCAAAAGGCAGAGGAGTTCCCAGGCCCTATCTCTGACCTGGCTGGCAGGAGGCTCCCTGCAGGCTCCCACTCACAAACACAGTGTTCATGAAAAAGCTGTTTTGTTTGTCCTTTTGCCCAGATGTGAATACAGTGCCAGGACACTAACATCTCTTACACGTATCAGAGGGGATGACAGGCTTCCTTTTCACTGTTCCTTCCTGCATAAGGAATGGGGCTGCTATTGACTTCTCTTAGGGCTAAGGCAGTAAGAAAGCTAAGACAGTGAGAAATCTCGTTGCACAGATTTCTTGCATTCAGCTGGCTGGGGTTCTGYTTGTGAGAAGAAAGCAGAATAGCTGTTTGCAGTGAACAGCTGGTGCAGCCCCAAATCTGAACTCTCCCCCTTATCTTAGAATGAGGTCCTAGAGGCCTGTTGTTCTTGAAAGATTAAAAAAGAAAAAGTTTGTCACAGATTATTGGCCTTCCGATTACTGACTTCTCCCATTACTCTTGGGCAGTAGAGTCAACCACTATTAGCTGATTAATTCCATTAGTTAATAAATATTCMTAATTAAAGTCCACTTTGGGCTCTSTGGGCACATAATAGCTAAAGATCCAGCCTTTTGAGGTCCCCTCTCACTTTTCTTCCTCGTCAGATTGAGTTCTTGTCAAACACACCAAGTTCTGCTGCAGAAGCAGTCTGAATGTAGGCACAAATGACAGTTAAATAACCAACAGTGCTGATCTTGTATCGACTTTACATGCAAAACAAGGCATGGCAAGATCTGTCCGAGAAAACAGACAGCAGTTTGTTCTGCCAATACTGGAAGTAACAGCACAAGCCCATTACAACACAGCTCGGACTGTGGCCAAGCAATAATTCTTCCCTGTCACCCTCAGGACTGTTCAAGTATCATTCAGCTGTAGATTCTCCAATTAAATACCTCATTGCTGGCAAGGCCTTCCAGCAGAACCAGCCTCTGCTACTCCCCCAAGTTTCCAATTACAGCTTTAGAAGCTTTTGCTTGTTTTCTTCAACCTGGAGTCTTTGTCCCCAATCATTCAGATATTATTGTGAACAACCATAGGGTTATTTACTCATGTTTGCTCTAAACTGCAGCAACCACCAAACAGAAATACAACAGTCAGATTCAGTGCATGCTTTAATAAAACCCAGGTTGAACAAACAAACAAACCTCACTAGCCTGTTAACTCATTAGTTAGGTTTTCATTCAGAATCCTGAAGCACTGCTGTTAAACTTCCAGGTGTAACTTCAAGAGCACCCTCCCATCATGCGCTGTTAAATATGCCTATAAAGCTGGCTGTGTCAGCTGCAACTTTTTAACAGCCAGTCACACAGCCTAGGCCTGTGAGCTGCTGTATGCTTCATCAGGTAAGTGTATAACATTATTTTTCTCTAATTTGTAGGTTTTATAAAGGACCATCTCAAGTTAGTAACAGGTCAATTTAACTTTGTTGTAACTGATAATTACTCAAAACTATTCAATCTTACAATAGGAAGGTGAGAAAAGACAAGGAGAAAACAAAAAAAAAGGAAGTAAGATTGTACGTAAGCTGGCTCTATCATTACCATGTTATGAATGTTAAAGGTTTTTTTTCTCCCCCCACCCCAAAAAGCATGAGTTTAACAGAAGAATGCCTCGTAGCAAATGAGCCATATTATGTGCTTACATGTAAGTTAATTCTGAAACAGTAATGAATCTTACTTGCTTATTCAACGTGCACCAAACAAATAGATTTAAATGCATTTATTCTCTCTGATTTTTATGCACATGACAAATTGCAAATATATATAGTATAAAATAGATTCTCCCCTGTAAGAAAAATTTGGTTGCTTGTTACGACAAAAATAGAGTATTTAAGATTTGCTTTAAAAATACCAGCTTTATAAAAGGCTGTGTAAAAAAACTATCACTGGTTGGTTTATGTATTAAGTCCATTAATTATAATCCATTAGAAATCTATGAGAAGCCAATGGGGAAACATCCTATTCGTGTGGCTTATCTCCAGGTACAATGAGAAGTACAAAAAAGTTGATTTCTCTGATCTGTTGGATAATATTAAATAATCTTTAATACTAAGTGTGGCGAGTATCTCTAATTCCCATTTTAGTCCAAACACTAAAATTTTCTCATAATCTGAATATAGCCTGTAGGGTGACCTTTCAGATTGGGTAATGTTCAAAGAATAAATACAATTTATTGCAGCCTGGAATAACTATTTATACCTTTAAATAAAATGCTGAAATAAGAAGCTGCTGCAAGCAGTAATGCAACATTTTCAAAGATTTGACTATTTCCAGTCAAATCATGCAAGAAGCAATGCTGTCTTTTGTGCATTTTGAAAAGGAGCTTTTTTTTCTTTCTTTTCTTTTTTAAACACTTAATGTCAAATGGACATTTCTGTACTGACTTAAATACTGGAACATTTTAAGGAAGCACAAAATTCTGCTTAGCCAAAATCTGGAGAGTCTTTCCCTATGCCACCTACAATCATACCTGCAGTAAGCTGGAAAACCTTAATTTGAACAAACAAACTGTAAAACTGAAGACATCTGACATGCTTTAGAAAATCTGTAGATGCATAGAAGTAGCTCCATCCTTCCACTTGTTAACATGGTCTGCAATAACAGTTCTGCAGAGTGGACATGTTTTTTCTCTATTAAACCATAAAGAGATGCATTCTTCACAAAATATGTGCTGTAATGAAAAGAATGAGAACTCAGAGCTCCTAAGTTCTTCCATTTATAAGAAGGTATATTATCTATAGAACCTGATTACTAAAAATAATCAGAAGTCATACAATCTGATTAATCTAACTATGTTGTTTTGGTTATGAGTTGTTAAAAAGATTCTTAAGTCTGACAAAAGGAATGCTCAGAATATGTCTACTGGATGGGAAGTTTTAGGAGGCAATAGAGAAAGGAGGAAGAGCCATGGGTTTTTTTCTGTGGAAGTGATCTATTCCATTTTACTTTATAAATCTTTCCATTAAGCTGCTCATTAAGCTTATTTTTTCAATTGAGACTGTAATAAGTTGCATTATAAGCTTTCTGAGTGCAGTAAAYTTTAAAGAAATTCAGAGTTGTGTATTACCTGACAGATAAGCAGAATAGGCTTCTGAAATTCAGCTTGGCAGATTGAACAAATATCATCCGATTCGGAACACTGTCTCTTGGTAGCATTCACTCCATAGTGCTGTAAAACAAGATTTTGCAGCAGATATTATTTTCTAGGGGAGAAGAGAAAGAAAAAAAAAAAAAGCAGAAAGAAATCAGGATAGAAAGGAGTTGGGAATAATGGCTGCCATGAAATGAAAAAATTAATATTTTTTCATTTCATTAATCCCCAATGTCACAGAATGCTGTTAAATATTTCAGCAGTTGCCATGATGCCTAAAGCTTACACACTTCCATCTACTGCAATATTGAGGTAGTACTTTTCCCTGGTCACAGTGAAGGTAAAATGAAAAACAGTTATTTTAAGTGACTTCTGAGCCAAACACTGTGCTAAGTTTGAGTTTGATCAGGAAACCACTTAATCATATTTTAAAATTTTATTTTATTGTTCCTCTAGTTAAGATACCATGCTCTGAAGTCTTTAATACATTTTACTGCATCAAAGCAGATTCTAAATGACGGTATCTGCTATTTCAGAGAGAAATGATTACCTGGAAGCTTGCAATTTTAATAAAATAGTTACTTGCACATCAGTTATTTTTGCCATGCTATATTCCTCTTGCAGAACCAGCTTTGCCTCAAATCCAACCAGTATGTACTGCAATTAACCAGTAGGAATTAGGACAGAAAGGATAGGCTATTTCCCATAAGGTGATCTGAAGAGACAAGCAGAAACACTTTTGTTTCTTTGTTCAAATATCCATATTGATATATGGATATCCATATTGATAATATCCATACCCCTAATCATGTAGTCAAGAAATCCATCTGTGAAATGGAGATGCAAGTGAACAGAGATTACTTTAAAAATATAGTTGTCTACCACTAGAACAACATAAAATAATGTAGAAATAGGATAGGAATTCATTCATGGAGAAACAATTTCATGTAAAGCAGGTTTATTCTTCTGCCATAGAAGAATCCAATACTTACTGGTTGTGTACAAAATATTCGTAAAACCTGTTTAAAGTTTCTCAATTGTCCAAAAAAGCTCAAAAGCTGAAATGGGAAAAAAAAAAAAAAAATCTGAGTTAAGCATATGGCTCTTCTCTGTAAACTTGTGCAAATTCTCACAGTAAAAGTCTCAGTGTTAGTTCAGTGGTGTTAAGAATGTAAGCAAAGCTGTAGTTTAGATGGGCCCTGTTTTCAGTTATTTATTATGTAAATGAAGAATTTGGTCTGAAGTTTCTCTCCATAGATAGCTGCTCTTTAAAAGAAAAATCCTGACGAGGTTGTGAAATGAAGGGCTCAAGTGCAAAGATGTCAGCAATATTATTGTATTATTGCATATAAAATAGTCTTTAGACTTGTTAGTAAGACATCTTAGCATTATTTCTTGTTTGTTTGTTTAAAGCAGAATTTGTATTGAGTTTGGTTACACTTTGGACAGGCTAGGTCTTGACTTAAGTAGATGGTCACTGTCAACTGGACACGGTCAATCAACCCCAATCTGCTCCCAGAACAGATTTAAGGAAGGAAAAAAAAAARRAAAAAAAAATACAAGATTTAGTGCCCATAATTTTGTGCCATTAGCCAGTTTACCAGTCAACTTTGGAAGGCTCTACAGTTAAACTGAAGAGCATCAACCTGCAAGTGAGTCCAAGCACTGGGGAATATTCAGAAATGCATTAGTTCAGATGTCTATATCCATTCAATTATTGTTTGCTAAAAATACTGTAATAGAAGTATAACRTTTCCTTACTTTTAGGATGAGGTAGAGGAGTCCCAGCAATATCCCAAAGGTCCATCCTAGCACGCTGTCAAGCTCCCCATAGCCAATAAGATAGCGGAACCAAACTGGTATGGGGACAAACATACGGTAATACTGGCAGAGTTCTTCTAACAGCATGTACCAGTAGCCCTAAGCAAGACATGCAAAGGAATCTCTCAAGATTTAAAGCACAAAGGATTTTTTTTTTAATATAGAAAATAATGTTTATTATTATTGAGTAGTTTTTTCTCATCTTATCTTGACAAAACTAAGTACGGTCAAATGAAAATCTCAGATTTACAGAACTACAGTGTCAAATCAAACTCCTAAAAAATTAAACCAAAACCAGGTTTAGGTTGAAAGAAAAAAGACCAGATGATAAGTTTCACCACAACAGCACAGATAACAATAGCACTATTAATTGCTGTACTGAAAGAAAAAAAAAAATTAATAGGCTAGAATAGGGTAGCTGTTGTAGGATGCCTACCTACTTACCAATGCTATCAGTCTTACTCTCGTAAGCACTAAAAAAGAAAATAAAATTACATGAAAAAGGAAAAGAAGACAAATTTAGTCATGTAGATCAGCTTGCCATTGACAGAATGGTGTCCAGTATTCAGCATTAGATCTGAGGATAAGAAAAGTTCCGCTTTCAGATGGTTTCCTTAAGCTTGCCTTTAAAATTAGATTTACGATACTGGGTAAAGTACTCTTGCAGCAGTGTATGCTGCATAATGCCATGACTTGCTACTATTGACCAGATTGTCTCTTAAATTTAGCCTCAGTTTAGGTCACAGTTGGTATAATGGGTTTTTCAGTACCTGAGAAACGCTTTGTCCTTGTGTATTTTCAGAGAGAAAAACCTACCAACAGATCCCATTTAAATGCTACCATAAACTAACTATATTTGCCTGAATACTTTTTTTAAATCGGTATGAGTGTTTGCTACGCTAGCATAAAATTTAGACTGTGTTTGCATGTCTTACCTCAGGGAACAGATAAAAACAAGTGTCCCCAACCATTGCAGGCCTCTCTAAAACCATTAAACGTTACTGGTTTGGGGAGTTAAGATATGATTCAAATTTGCTGATCTGACACAAATGTTACTTAAGTKTATTAACAAAATGAAAACTCAAAATTATTCTTCTAAGGGAAAAATCTACATGTTTTCATGCAGAGATTTTAAAATTATGTCAGTTATTACAAAGCAAGCAAAAACTGTACGGTTCATCTGCTGCTCCCTGCTAATAGGCTGCATACGTATTTGTATATTGCAGCAATTGAAAGGTTTCTTCATCTCCCACAGACAGAAATAYGCCCATGTACCCAATAACGTAATACAAGCACTTGTTCCAGATCAGAATAGAAAGCTTCTTTAGTGTCAAGCAGGAAAGAACAGGAACTGCACACAGTTTTCTTGCCCACAGCAGTAGTGCTGGATTATATACAGACTTTTAATTAATGAAAACTTTCCTCTAGGTAGCATTTAATAACACACTAATTCTCCTGCAAAGGGATCTGAAGGAAGCAAATATATATATTGTTTTCTTACCTTGCATTTAAAAGACATCACGAATGAAGGCACCAAGAGAACAAAGCATTTGAAGCCCATGAAGAGGAATTTCAGAATGAAGTCTGTGATTCCCACAATCCAAAGTACCTCCCAGAAGTTCATGAAATCCACTGTAGGCTTTAAAAATATTAAGCTATAAAAAGAAGTATTAGAAGTTATTCAAGTGGCCTCTTTACAAGAAAGCTTAACCACAGACTATCACAACAAGTTGAATAAAAAAAATCTACATAGTGGAAAAGTATTTTTCTAAGAAAAATGGTCCTCTTATCATAAATTGATTCTATATATTTCTGATCTCTTTATTTCTGAACTTGCTTCCCTGGGTCTTTTATCACAACCCTCATCCTCTAGAGATAAGCTTTATTTCCTTTTTACAAATACTGCTCTTAACTGATTTACAACCAAGATGATCATTACAAAACAGTAAGAATTCCAACATAGTATTATTAGGGACAAGACAGTTTGGCAGAGGAGAAAGGAGATTAAAATAAAAGGAAATGTAACATCACAATCCCATCCTGTCTCCCCTCCTTTTTTTTTAATAGCTGCAACAGTGCTTAAATGTTCCCAGTTAATATTTAAGTAATTTATGATATTGATGTTCCTCTACTTGCCTGTAATACAGTGACTGAGAATGAAAGGTATAATACAAGAGGAGAGATGATCCAGACAGGTATATTAGTAACCAAGCACACTGCAACTTGGAGCACCGTTCCTGCAAGATATTTATTAAGATGTATTACAGTTTTTATCTCTGTATCAATGTCTTTAATATAGCCCTAAGCACAAAGTCTGCTGCACCTGAACAAAGTGCTTGCATACTTGATGCTACTTAGTTAATAGCGATTGACAGTGCATTAATTTTAAGCTAATAAAATAGAAGAACTCGATGGAAAGGTAAAGCTGCAATTTTAATCCTTCCAACAAGACATTTTCTATGTGAATCATGCTTTTTCCTGAAAGATAAAACTATTGATGCATACAAGTCTTGGTTAACTTAAAGAACTTTGTTGCAAAGATTGATACTTACTCTTAGAAAAACCTGATTTACTATGCTTTTGTTTGCATACATAAAAGTTGTTAGCAGCCCAATTCCAAGAGAAATGCCTATTAGGAAGAAAGAGTCAGTTATATACATGAAAGCAGTAAGTTATACAGAAGTTTAAAAGAAAAAAAAAAAACATTCTAATATGTTTTGCAGTAATTGTAACAAAATGTTAATAGTTCAGATTATCAAGCCAAAGCATATTGTGTATATCCCAATAGAAGAAACCAAAAGAAATGTATTTTTGCTGATAAGGCAAGCAAAAATAAAGCTACAAATATGAGAAATTTTACATCAGGCATCATTATTAACATTTTTATGCTGGGGTGGGGAGAGTCAGTTCCCGCAGACCATATTCTTTTATACTGTACCAATCACGTGCTGCATGATCAATTTGCCGCACAGAATCAAGAGGTACGGCAGGCTTTTGTGGAGCCACTGGAGCAGGTATCTGAGCTCTGAGAGGGAGCTGCCACCGTGTTCCTCCGAGTCTGCAGTGGGATCGCTGAGCACCCCTGCTTCACCGTGGCCATGGCCAGGYGAATGACTTTGGGAGCCCGACCTCGACGGCCGGGAACTTGCGGTTTCTCTAGCTTCTCCAGGCGCAGAGTTTAACTGTATGCGAATGTCTCCGCTGAGATGGCACGAGTTTTCTCCCGTCGGTCTCGCTGCATTCTGAGAGGATGAAGAATCGTCGCTGCTCCCCTGGATATTGTGAAGATGAGTGCAGTTTGGTTGCATGGTGAGGTATTTTTTCTGGTCCAGATTCCTACTACTTCGTCTCCTAGAATGTGAGATAAAAAGTCACGATGTAAGGAAGAGTACTAACTAATTCAGGGGGGAAAAAAGGTAAAAATACAGTAGATTATTGTGTTTGCCAGCACAAAGCCAAGCATAGGTTCTCCTTATRGATGGTGTGGCCCTTGGTTTGGAAGGTTGTGCTTGTTTGTGCCCTGTCTTCACAGGACAACTTTCTGCTCTGTTTCATTCACATGCAGAGACTCCAACCTGCAGTGAACCCATCTTCCTTAGCAAAATCTGAGGTTGCTTAACTCTAGTCACAGAGCAAAACCACTAGCTTGTACAGAAGAGACCTTAGGTGTGCTGCCTAATTTCATAAATACAGGGAGTAGCAGGAGCAAGCTAAAGAACAAACAACAGTGTGAAGGAGGCAGACTTCTACATGTGTCTGTAAAAAGGCAAGCATTTGTTCAGACAAGTCTCATCAAAAGGCAGTGCATATTCAAAACCGAGGGCCATTATGAGATTATCAAGAGATTATCTTGTCTGGGGACGTAAGCAGAACCAGGTCAGTCCATTTTGTCAGAAGAGCCAAGACCGTATGGTCTAGGTTGGAAAAGAAGTGAGAACAATGAAGAGTCAGGTTTGATTTCCTCCTCCTAATATCTTCCCGGTCTCTTCCTAGGTAATTTTCCACTTCTCCTTAATTAAGGAGCATTAATCTCCTTCTCCTGACTCACGTGGTATCACAGCAGTGACTTTGGAGGCTGGATTTGCTAAGCATTAGCATGGTGTTTGTCACTGTCAAATAATACTATGGAAACATGGAGGTTTTTGATATAAACCTATTTTGGTAAATTGCAACCCCTCCAGGTTTGTCACTGAAATGAAGTTTTCCAACTGCAGTGTACATGCGGGGCTGGATTTATTAGGCATACAAAAAGTTGAAGTCTTTTTGCACGTATGGAATATGAAAAGGTGGTTTTGCACTTCAAAAAAAAAAAGCATTTGCACAAACATCAACATCTTTAAAACAAGGTTGTACCAGAAGAGTCAATGACGTGAAGTTAAAGAACAGCGAGCAAGCATTGCTCCTTGCTGCCGTTCGGAACACGCTCCAGTATTTTGGGAGAGCAGCAGGGATTACATCATCCTTGGATCCAGCCCGGATTCCCGCTCTGGAATCTCACGCTASGGACAGACGCGACGCGCTGGACACGGCGGCTCGCGCGAGCGGTGACCGGGCCCTAACGCTACTTAGGAAAACAAAACCCCTCCATAATAAACACTTGTTTTTCAGCGCCCGCAACGGAGCTGCCACTCGGAGGGTCTCTCCTTCCGCCCCCCGCCCCTTCCCGCCGCGGCCCCACTTAAGGCGCCACCTCCTCTCCCCGCTCGTTGAGGGGGTTCCGGCCGCTCTCGCCCCGCTCCGCGGGCGGGCGGGAAGGCGCCGCGCAGGTACCTCAGGGGGCGGCCGTCCCGGCGCCGCCGCCCAGGCCGCCTCCATTGCCGGGCCCGAAGAGGGAGGGAATGGCGGAGGCGGGAGGAAGAGGAGGAGCCGCGAGAGGAGGAGGAAGAGGAGGGAGGCCCAGGGAGGGCCGCGTTGCTCGGTAACGGGCGGCCCGCGCGCGGGCTCCGTCCCGTGAGGGAAGGGCGGGTGAGGCGACGCCGGGCGCGGCGGCGGGGGCGGAATTTTTCCGATGTTTTTTATTTAAATCAYCTGTCAATGTGCAGCTGGAGAGGTGGCCCTAAAAGGGAAATGGAAGAGGGGGAATATATGTTTTTCTATATGTGCATTTGTGTATAAAAAAAATATGTGTTTGTGTGTAGTGTGGTGTCTTGCCCTCGTTTGGGATCCCAGATCGGCTGGGAAACCTTAAAAAAATGTAACCAGCCTACTTAAGGCTCCTCTTGAGGCAAAACAAGGAATTAAGTACTACTAACTTTTTGAAATATGCTTTTGGATAAATAATTTCAAATCCTTAAATATGAATATATATATGTGTGTGTGTGTATATATATATATATTAAAAAAAAAAAACACCCCCTCTGTCTTCCATAGACCTTCCGGACTAAGATAACTTGCTGGTTTGTGTGGCCCTTCTGTTAATATAGCCCATTAGCACCGTGCCTAATTACCCCAGCACCAGGGAGGAGCAGCAGTGCTGCAGAAATCAGATCCTCTGCTGGAAGCACTCGAGGAAATGCTTTTCTGTACGTTATTTGGAGAGAAATCTAAAAGCCTGGTTGGGCTCAGTTTGTTTGTAAAATAAATGTGTTAAAATGCAAATATAATTTGAAGTTGGAATTGTTCTTAGACTGTTTCTCATTACAACACCTTGGAAATGGAAACTGAATTCATGGCAACATATTAATCAATAATGTTTGATCATGCAGGCCGCTTGCTGATTTGTCTCCAGTTTGCAGCTCATTAGAAGGTATATAACTCGGCAGTGATGTTATTTAACAGATATGTTCTTGTGGTGCTGTTAATGCCCTATAGACTGGGCAATTCCTGAAACAAGAAAGATTTCAGAGGCTACTAGCATAGAAGTTTATTGTGTGGAAGTCTAGACAGAAGTCTGTTCCCATGGGTATTGCACACACTGGGTCATGTAATACCCAATAATAAATTTGCCAATCTCTAGTTTGGACTAGCCTCCTAGGAGGCCTGTAAATCTCACATGGGGAGACAAATAACTGTCCAGACATCAGAAGTGAGAATGAGGATGACTGCAGAGGAGTCTGAATTTCACTGCTGAAGCTTGATTATGTAGGCTTTGTCAAGCAGACTTGCAAGTTGAGCCAGGTATTTTTATAATGTGATTACATCATCTTCCTCTCTGAAATTTGCAGTATTCTTGATAGTCCTCTGTGTACGGCAGCGTGCTGCTTTCTATTAAATCACTTTAAGCTGAGAGTAGTTCTAGTGAAATGGTGTAAGAGCAGGTTTAAAAACTGGTGAATCAGCTCCCGAGTCTTTGCTTCTCTCTATAGGTAGAAGCTTGAAAGAAAAATTTGGCAGTGGAGCCACAAAGGGCAGTTGTAATTTTTGCTCACTGCACAGGAGGGTGCTCAGCCTCTCTCTTTATCTGCAAGAACAAGCAATTCCCATGGTCATTAGAATGAAGCTCAAAAGCTGCCATCTGAACTGGTCTTTTCTTGTAGTGACACTGAGGAATGCGTTAAATATAGTTTTAGATGGTGTATATTAATTGGTTTTGGAAGAGCTGGCTGCAAAGGTATTTAGGCACTGTGATGATCATCTCCAGTGTAAGATATTAGTATTTGCTAATGGATCTCTTTAAAGGTATCAGAATTTCCAGTAGAATAATAATCTTTTGAAGTTTATTTTTTTAATCCTTTTTTTTTGGGGGGGGGGGGGGGGAGAAGGGGAGCACTCTGCCTAAAGTGTCAATCTGAACACATGAATCCCTCTGTGATTAATCCTATTAAATAATGACTTCTCATATAAGTAGAAATCTACTCTAAGTACTCTTATAGGAAGAGATAGGTAGTTTTTTTAATTCATATTTGATCCACAGTACCTGCTTGTAATATTCTCCTTAGTATTTATTTTCACTGGTAAATATTAGCATATTAAGTTCAAGAAACAATATTCTTTTTAACATAACTCACAATCAAAACAGAACTGTTAGGAAGTTATATTGGCCTATTAATTTAGGCCAATGTTTTTACTTATAGTGGGGAAAGAGTTTGTTTGTTTTGGCTTCTGTGACACATTGCTAATTGGGSTGAACACTGTTTTACTGAAGCTGGTCCTATTAGTACCAGTATTAGTTAAGGTATTACTCTAAGCATTTTTTCAATCAGTTTGTGCACATTCTAGTAGGGTGGCAATTTTTAACTCTTGTTAAAAGTTCTTGCCCRTCATATTTGAACAGGATTTGTCCCATTAACATCAGTATATAAATATTTGCTTCRCTTTAGTCAATATTTACCTCACTGGTCAATAACACTGTTTTGCATATCACAAAGTTAATGTTTCCTTTTTTTTGTGTTCAGTTTGGTGATCATCTGTATCATTTCTTGTTTCTTGCTAAGAATATGGAGGGTTTTAAAATCCATTTCTAACAAAAAAAGTTTTTGTGTTAACAGAAATGTGTTAGTTTATTGGGAAGTCTTAAGACATCTAAAACATTTTCATTATGTAACAAGATTACCAAAATCATATTTTGCAAGCAGAGTAACTTAGTGGTGATTTTGATTTTTATAACTGGAAACTAGGATGAATTATGTGATTCATTTTATCATATGATCCAAATCTTCTGTTGAACTAAAGTCTCTGAACTAAATCGTAGCACTCCTGTATCCTTCAAATTGTCAAAGAAAACAACATCTGTTTATGGGAATAGAAGAGAATATTGCTACTTATTAAAAAAGTTATTCCTGGTAGGAATATTCAAATCCATCTTAATCTCATATATAACTTTTTTCCCAGAAGAATTACAAAAATTAAGCATCTAAGTTTGCATGGTTCTAAATGTGGTATTTCCACCTTCCCTCTTTCAATAGAAAATGACTGTCTTGTCCATCAATTTCAGCCAGCTCTCTGATTGATCGTAGTTCAAAAGTATAAACAAAAAGCTTGCTGAAAGCCATCCAGGCTCTAGCCAGTGAACAGACTCATTTTTATTAGTGTGGTAACTGAAGTGCCAAGATCAAAGTGAAAGTTGCAGGACTTGTTTGCCTGAGGTTAGGCAAGAAATTCACAAATAAGTAATTTTTTTTTTTTTTTTTTTTTATTCTTTTCCAGAGTGATGCTGAAAGTCCTCTTAGCTGGTGTTGTCTGGTGAAGATCAGGCTTCAGGATCAGTAAGGATCTAGATTTGTAACTTTAGGCATACAAATTCGAAAAGTTTCATCTACCACTCTGCAATTTCTGATTCTAATGCAGAGTTCATCACACCACACTGCTTGAGTGTTTTTGTTTGTTTGTTTTTAAATAATTACAGTTACAATTTTAACAAAAGCTCAATGGAAAAGACCAAATGGAGATGTCAACTCTGTGAGCAAGGGCTGTGGACAAGGAACATATGGTTGGGCATGTGGAGATCAACAAAAGATCCTCTTTAGCCCCGGGAAAGTGGAAAGAGAGCTAGAGAGAACAACAGCATTAGAAGGAGAGCAGATATAGATAACCAAGATGTAAATGGAATATATCATAGTTCTGTAGGAGCCCCAGCTATAATATAAAAGATGCACCAAACGTGTGTATGTGCTTATGCATACTTCTCTAGACTTTCAAATCAGGCATCCTGTCKTACAGAACTTGTCTGTACAGAAGGCATTTCTTTATGTCTCTTGTCAGAAAGGGTCTGCAAAATGTCTTCTACACAGTTTGTAGTGAAGCCAACAGTGTTCAGTGCTTATGGAAAACAACTAACTTGCTTCTTGTGGACCAGTTGGCATATTTGTTTAAATGTCTTTAATGTAGCAGAGTCATAACAGCAGCTGAACACTATTTGCCCTGTGTAAATTTGAGTTCAATAGGGTTTTTTTTGTTGTGGTGTTTTTTTTCTTTTTGACAAGAGAATTTGAAATCATTACGATAAAATAATATTTACAAATTCTACTCAGGGTCACTCAAATATCTAACATTTTATCCTACATTCARAGAAAGACATAGGAACAGACATAAGACATTATCCAGAGAAATCATGACATAGAGAGTTTTTAATTTTCCTTTAGTTTACAATAAAGTCCTTGTTCTCTATCACTGCCTAATTTTCACGATCTTAAAATATAATTGTAAAACTCATTGCTATTTTGTCTGAGTTTTGAAACTTTACATAGGTTGAATAATTGTCGATTTATAGGGATATTTGTCTATGACTAGTTAACATGTACACATAATGCATGTCAATTCTAAGTAAGCTTTTTTTGAAGTGCACCAAGTTAATTGTTTTTCAGCCTTCAGTGCTGCAGTGACAATGCACTTCCTTTAATCTGGTTTGCTTGCAGACAGAGGCTGACACGGTAGATTTAGTAGAGCTGCAGAATTAATGTCCAAAACTCCCCTGCTGCACAGTGTTCTCCTCCATGTACACACACTACATAAAAATGCCGTACAATTTCTCACTCCAGGGCTCCTCTATTAGGGCATTAGCTGACTTTACACCTTCTATTGGGTTAGTGCTTTCATTTGTATACAGTGCAGCTTTACATACTCCCCCAAATTACTATTTATTGCAAAATAAGTATGATAAAATTATGGGTTTTATATGGTATTAATGTAACATTAAATTTTAAATTATGGCAGTCTGTGAAAATAAATCTAGGAGAACACAGGCCAAATGAAAGACATAAAGTGGCAAAAGAAACATGTTGCTATAACATAACTTGTACTCATATGTATTTTTAGCTATGAGGAAACATCAAGGTGAAGGTTTCTTGAATTAAAAAGTTTGAAGCATGGATTTATGTATATACTGTGTAATTATTATAGTCTATTGCAATGTTTGGTTGGCTCAGTTTCGTATGGGGAACTTTTCCAAGTTTTTGATATTCCTTGAGTAGCTTGTAATGGCTTCAGAGTGTGCTAATGAGTCTTTGGACATGGGTTTGGGAGCTATGCATCAAAAGGTGATGGAAGGAAAAGTGAATTTCTCTGAAGGCCTGAGCTACAGAACCCTAATATTTTAGATGGCACTGAGTCTTGGACCAAGAACAAAATGAACCAAAACAGATTTCAAATTTCTTTGGTCATTCCTTCTTTTCGGACATTGATAGTGCTGTGTGCTTTTATAGTTTGATAGCAATTCTGCTGCTAAATGATTTCATCTCTAAGCCTGTGAATGTCTTTGATGCATTTGCTGTTTGCTAAATTTGAGATTACACCAAAAGAAAAAGGTATTTGAATTTATGTTTCAAGTTGTCTGCAAGGTGTGTGTTCTGAAGAYTGGATTTCATTCGGAAAGATTTTCTTTTCAGAAAGACATCATTTTATTTATATGGTAGATGGGTTCCAGAGTTCCATGATGGGGAAACAGCAGGAAGAATATTGTCCTCCACAGCTTTTCATGTCACAGAGGATAAGGAGCAGAGCAAATTTCTCCTTGGTTCTGCTGCCGCAGCTCCCAAAGGGAAAGCCGAGTCCTGGAGCCCAGAAGGAGGAAATGGCATAAACATTCTTCATAAAGCAGAGAAAATAGGTGCAGACAATATTTTAAATTGAAATATAATGAAATTATTATTTATAGCCCAGTTTCCCGCTTACATCCAGAATCTGTCATTTAGGTGATTGGGCCAGCAGGTGGCAAATATAATTGAATTCAAGAAAATAAATAAGGAAGTAGACTGGGGATTGTTGACTAAAAAGGAGTCATCTAGTCTACTAATTAGGAGGATTTATAGGATGCTGTACTTAAAAATAGATGATTATTGATAGCTCATCTTTATCCTGCAGGTTATCTTATAGTAGATAAGGTTCCTATAAGCAGGGTGGCTGCTGCAGTGAGGTATGTTGTGATCAGTCAGCCCCCTGTGAGGGTTTATGTAAGTATTCTCCAACACAACCTAAATATCTATGCTTTCAGCCATCCCTATAGAATCCAACTGAAACAAGAAAAGGCAGGAGAGAGGGAAAAGCGAAACAGATTTTTTTGCATGCTCAAATCTGTACTGCAAGAGAAAGGGGGGGTGGGGAGAGAGAAATGAAAGCAAGCAATCTTTGYGTCTGGGTTTTCAAGAACAGGTCACCACACTAGCCAACTGCTGATGATTTTTGAGCAACTGTAGTGCACAATGCCCACAGTTCTCTACTTTTGCAGTATTTAAATTTTGTGGTTTGGTTCTGTGCATGGACTCACTGACATCATCCTCTATTTGCTATCCTTGGGGATAGCAAATTCCAAGATTTTCTGTGGCATCCTCTGCAGCAACATTTAAACTAGACCCTGCAAATTAAAGCCTTGTGACTAGAAATAGCTTGTTCTCTTCATTGTGATTGTGCTTTGTGTATCAATGGAGGGTCCTTCTGGACTTAATTCTGAAGGAATAATTATGCTTTTTAAATATTAAACATCAAAGTTCTTCTTTTATTGTTAAACTAATATTAAAGTAGGACAAAACTGCTTTACAGTTTATGACATTGGATTCCAGAATTGCTAGCGTTGCAGCTGATGTCTTGTTTCAGCAATATTAGCGCTGCGAGGAGGCTCAGAAATGTAGATTTTAATCGAAAACTTTGAGATACACTATAGTTAATGATAAATTAATCTTTCCTTATGAACACCCAAACTGTTAAAAAGAGCAAAGAGTTGCAGCTTCTTTCAAAACAATTCAAAGACTGTTTTTTATCAGTCTATGATTTCAGTAAAATGGAATTGCAAGTTGTGTGTCTTTTTCTCACAGATTGTTATTTAATCACTATATATTAGCTTTCATTGCCCTTTTGATATATTTGGGCTCATAAACTTTTCATTGAATAGATTGAATTTACCATTATGTTGTTACTTTTTTATGAATAGAATAAATCAGTACTGGGTGCATTGGCTTGCACTGAATTGTTTATTTTAAGGGATATTTAAATTTTACTAAAGCAGGGGGAGGTCTTCAGGAAGCAAAGGTCTGGTGCTCAGTCTTTTATTTTAAAACCTATTATTTGGTAACATTTTCAAATACACTCCCTTAGCCAGCACATGCTAATACATGTTATCAAGAAACATAAGACTAATAAGTTTTTCCTGAAGTTCTTTGAAATGTTATATATTGTGCAGTATAACTAATATATAATATTTTAATACTTGTAAACTGTTCTTTTATTTTACTAGAAATCTTTCATTTCATTATTAGGGAAATATTCCAGAATAAGCATCATTTTTTTTCACTTGTCTAATATATCCTTTTATATTATAAAATCTTGCATAAAACCCTATATTTATGGTATACATGAAACTTGAAAGCATCTGTTCTGGAGAGAAGTAGCTATTAAAATACACTTAAGCAGTGAGAGCTGCCTCTTAATTCAAAGTGAGAACTCTGCTCAGGAGCCTTGCAGAAGTTAAATAAGCAGAGATGATTGCAAGAAAGTGGCAAGGCTTTTTTTTTTTTTTTTTTTTTTTTTTTTTTTTTTTTTTTTTTTTTTTTTTTTTTTTGATTATAAGGAAATAGCAATTTGTTTCATTAAAAAGGTCTTCAAATAATCAGTAAAAACAGCCAGATTTACTTCATCTATGTACTTGAATCACAGAGTTAAGAAAAGTTACTGGGTTAATTTTATCATGTTGTTTCTTGGCATGAAGTATTAAATTTATTGTTGTTAACTATGCAAAATTCTGCACAGACAGTTGAAAAATTTTATATAATGGATTCAAAAACTTGCTAACTTAGACCAATATGACCAATATAATAATGTAATAACACTTCATGTGTTTTCTTAGACTTTGTGTMTGATCAAGGTATTTTGTTTGGATTCAGCCTGGCTCCTGCAATCTTTTCTTCGACAGTAATATATGCATCTTTATTATTGTATTAAGTAGCTAATTAAATCTGGTCAGGTTAACCTTTCTTGATGATTAGAAGTAGGCATCTCCTGAAAAAAGCTAATCATTTTGGGTGGAACATCTTGTTCTTGTTTGAATAATTATCTTTGTTTACATTCACACAGCATTAATCACTTGAAGCAGACATCTTTTAGGGAAAAAAAGGAGAGAGTCCCTAGCAGGTTTTCAGATGCCATATATGTGAGTTAAAAGGAGGATGCGTTTGCCTCCATTCCCCTCTATCAGCAAAACTGGAAGACATTTTGAATTCATAAAGCAGAATAAAAGCTGTATCTTCTAAGTACTACTGAACAAAGAACTGTAATTTGTTTCTAGATAACTTTTAATAGCAAGTCCTCCTGTATGTTTTGTTGAGCTGAAGTCTTGTTCCCTTGTTGAAAATACATCAGCAGCTGCAATGCATTTTTTTTTTCATTTTTTAATTATTGCTTTATTAATTTATATAACTCCATAGTCTTATAACTACACCTGTTGTGGCTTCTGACATCAAGGTTAAGGCGGAAAGGAGAGACAACCTAGCAGCTTCTTTGGATTTTCTGCAGAGAAAGGCAACAAATGCAATCCGAGCTATGGAGATTGCAACCATGTTCACATGTGTATGCATTCTAGTATTCTTCCATTTAAAAGAAAAGTTGTGAAGTCAATTAAAGCTATAATTTCTGTGCAATTCCTTTTCTGATTAAAATTGCCTTCTGTAATTGATTTGATTATGTATACATATGTGTATGTATATTTAGGTTATCAGTCTTTACAGTTAAAATAAGACTTTTGTCATAGGAGAGAAGAAGGGTATACACACAAGTTTAGATTCCTAATACGCTTCCACTAGCTCTTTCCTGCTCCTTTATTTTTGTAAATATAGGTTACATTTTTATTTTTCATCTTTCTTATCTTGAACTTTCTCTCAAGTCCTCCAATTTTCCTATTTTTAGCTAGATCAGAATATACATGTTTTTCCCTCCATTTTTACCATTTCTTTTCTCTCTCAGGATTTGTTGGTGTCTTTCTTTCATAGGCACCTCACTCCATGTGTTGAATTTTGGCTCAGATGGAGAGACTGAACAGGGCTTTGGCACTTTTCATAGTGGGGAACAAGGTGAAAACTAGCTTAAAGTCGTGGCAGGGAGCAGGGTAGTTCTCARCTGACATGTAGCACGAGGAAAACTGAGAGAAGATAAATTCGTGTTCAGCAAACTTAACTTGCCCTAAAATTTCAAGTTTCATCCTTCCAGCTGGAAGCAAGATAATATAATAGGTTGTTACAAGCTGTTAAAATTTGAGTTATTCTGTGAATTGTTCAGTTCTTTGTGGGAGGCTGTTAAAATAAAGCAACAATATAAAAGATGAACTATATTCAATTTTAATGTAAAGCTGTTTGATGTCATTAGGATATTTCTTCCTTGATTGTCAAACAGTTGTGTAATTTTTAAAAAGTTTTACATTTTTGGTTCTTTCTGAACATTATGAAAATTGTACTGAGAGAAGTAAATTCATTTGCATAAAATTGACTGCAAAGAGCAATTAGTCCTTCATTAATATGCAAATTTGGTCCAGTGCAAATTCATCTATATATGAGGCTTAAATATGCAAGTCAGTCTTGCTGTGCTAGAAACCCAGATGCTTTTATTTACTTTGAAATTGAGGGATTTGGTTAATGATGTTGTTGACAGGAAAACTTGAATAAATTTGATGATCACCATCTTTCATATTAGACGAGGCCCATGGAAAAAAATTACCAAGTAAAATACCAATTTTATTTGGTAATTTCCTATTACCAATCTAGTAATAAAATGTAAGATGCAAAGTAATAGAGTTAGATTACCTAATGTAGTTATCCTGAGACTTAAACTGTTCCCTAAAGATAGAACCATTTTTCTTTAACTTCGTTTTTCTAGAGGGTAAAGACATCTACATAAGCTATATGAATAACATACTGCCTAGAGATTTAATATTGGGAAGTTAGCTCTGTTGCTTGTTTCATTTGGAGGGAGTATATAAGCCTGGGACTTAAAAAGTAGGAGCTTTGGAAATGGATGTCATCAGCATCTTGCTTTAACTATCTGTTTAGTCCTTTCCAGACRTCATATTGAGGCCTTCACTCTGAATCTATGGGGCTGACATGGGAGCTGTTTGAACCCATGGCCAATTATGTTTGAATCACCTAAGCTAATTAGTAAATATTCTTTTATGTAATTTTAAATGTTTGCAACTTCAGCAAAACCTCTTTCCTCTTCCTTCTTGTTCAACATGCAACAGCTCACAGAGGGGGGATTTTCTCTTTCCTACAGACGTCTTATGTGACGTCTGTAGGATGTGACGTCTTATCCCTCTCCTTTATCCCTCTCCCTTACTCCTATCCTCGTGTGCCATGACTTTTTTGACACATACAATATTCAAAGAAAAGTTTATATATTTTTTTTCTTCCTCCTAGTGAAATAGAGAAAAGTTTGTGCATTTTTATACTTGGACAAGTGAAGAACCAATACCACTGCCTAGGCAAGGGCGGTTATGAAATACAATTGTACTGGTAGTTTTAGACAATGTTTTCTCATTTTGGGGGGGGGGGGGGTGGAATTTCTCACGGGAATAAAATCCTACTTACAGGATTATTTTAAGCCAGTCCTTACTGGTCTTGTGAAAAAGGGGAGAAGACCATTTTATATGCAGAAGAATAGTAATTTACACTGGTGAAATAGATTTACAAAAAAAAAAAAAAGGCATCTTATAGCCTTTCCTCTGGAGAGCGATCTACCTGAAGTTTTTCCAGAGGTAAATGTGCTTACTATGTTCCAATTCTTACAASTTATTGTTTTCATATATTAGTTTTGTTTGTTTTTGTTCTGTTTGTGTGTGTTGTCAAAGTTGTCTTCCCAGCCTCTTTAATACACTGGATGGTCGTATATTCACAATATCACTTTTACTGATGTGGTTTTTTCCCTACTTTAATACAAAACAAGGTTTTCTTACTCCCAGCTAATGTTCCTCTACAATGAACATGATTACACAAGAGGCAAAACAGCAGTGAACCAGGACCTGTTTGCACATACCTTCTACGTATTCTTTAAGTATCCTTTTTATCCCTTCAGTTCAAGTACATCCGTTTGGTAATAACGCAAGCATGTGATTAATGTTGACATAGGCTCCTGCTTTGCCTCACAGAGCTAGACTTTTATTCTCTGTTATCCTTCCAGATGCTGTAATCCAGAAGTCGGTGTTTCCAGGACCCATATGTCAGTGGAATGTCCTGCTCTGTGCGTGCCATAGTCTCTTGGCATTTGTGCAGCCTTTTGCTTGTCTTCATTACAACCAGAGGCAGCAGCTATGCAGTCATCTGTATTGAGCAGTAATGCAATGACAGTTTCCATCAGTTTCTCTCGTGAATCTATTAGGTCTTTTCATCAGCAAAAGTGTTTTGCCCTTCCCCTAGGAAGATTGCAACAATAAGATTTGCAACCTTATTGGAATTGCATTGCAAAGTTATCCATTTGTGAAATATGCTAATATTCAGAATGTGCCTAGGACATTACAAACCACAATCAATCTTCCAGAAATGTATTTATTTAATATAAGATCTTATMTGACTAAACATGCTGGAGCTTTTGATATCTGAAGAAGAATACCCCATTTTATATTGGTCAGATAATAGAATTGTTATTTTTCTCTAATAAGACAGTAAGTAGTGCCAATTTACTTAATACATAGGGATTTAAATCAACCTCCAGCTAGAATCCCATTTCCACTTCTAAAGTGTCCTTGCAACTTAATGTTTTGCTTGCATTTTGCCAGCAAAATGCAATGGTTCCAGTTGTGGGACCACACATTCAAGCCTTACACATTTGTACCACTTTCTGTTTTGGCGTAGAATCCTGCAAGTCTTAGGTAAAAAGAAAGGCCCATTGTTTTTCAAAGTAGATAGTATTTCTAGTACTTAATGCCTTCTGAAACTGATTGGTTTTCAATATCTAAGGGGAAAAAAAGTGACTCAAAGGTTTTAGGTTCTTGAGCATATGAAAGTTAAGGACTTCAGAGGAAATAGAGACATCTTATTGTTGCAGTTGTTACAGCACTTTCCATTCGACAAAGTGATGGGTAATCAGCCTCTTCTGAGACAAATCTGAATTAATTAGCCTGCAAAGACAATGAACATAGTCATAGTTACTACTTCCCTGCATGTTACYGTAAAATTTCAGACTTTCACACTCCGTGTTATGGGTGACTTAGAAGATGATGCAAACAAATCACAGAGATAGTCTCATTTCTACACTTCCAATACATTTTCATAAGCCACTATTTGCCTTAACCCGTCATCTACATATACAAGCAATGCCAGTGCTTTAGAACAGACTGTTTACRTGAATGAGTATTAATTTCAAAAAATAAAGAATGCAGAGCTGTCTTCTCTGTTTTTTTGTGAATAGAAAAATATTTGTAGAATAGGAAACTATGCATAATTATTATATGAAACAATGTATTTTTACAAAATTTCAGGTTACTTTGTCAACCAAATGTCAAGGGATTTACCTGTTGAGATTGAACAGTCCCGTGCTTGGTTTTCATTGTCTTTAGTAAATTGGTGTCTGATACCGCTTGGCCAGATGGAACTAAGCATTCTTTCCATTGTATTAAATGCAAACATCTGTAAAGAGTCATTTTTATGAGATATTGCTTGAACATACTYTTTTATTGCTCGGGATTTATTATTGGTTTGTCATACCTGCTGATTTCAGAACTTCTGTCAGTCTTATGTGCCTTGTGGCTGTCAGTGCAAAATGGTAGTTATTGTGCCCACAGAACTGTGGAGGGGGTAGAGTCCTGCATATGCTATTGCATGAAAGTATTTGTCATTGCTGTCTAATTTGCAAAGTTTCAAATTAAGCAACTTATATATTTCCTAATGCAAGTAAACTCGTCGAGCCACTCCCAAAGAAAAAGATGCATGTTGTCAAACAATTCTATGAGATAATACATACAGAAGGGTAACATTATAGTCTGCAAATATTTCATCTAATTTACAGTGTAAAGGCATGAGGTCTGAATATGAATTCTGGGTGTTCAGGGAATAAGCGGTATTTTGTTTGTTTTTCTTTAAATATTCTCTCTATTTTTCTCCTTTTTCTTCTCTGTATTTTGCAGGAAAAAAAAAAAAGAGTCTGTAAGTCTACCACTTATGAAGGAGGCTGAAGGTCAAAGGAGAAGACATTGCACCCTTCCTCACTTACAGCAATTGCTCTAGACACAACCACTGGTCAGAAAGCAAGTTTTATGAGCTACCTGTAAGTTCTAATTCACCTAATAGATAAGGAGCTAGAGATACTTCTAAGCTCACAAATGATTTTATTTTTCTACAACATAATGATTGATCTCATTATCTGCTGCTCTATTAAATGTAAAGCAAAGAATGAAGTTCTCATATAYTCTACGTATAACATATATTCTGTGTATAAAAGCTGACATGTTTTCTGCATTCCTCTATTTGCCTAAAACATAATGGTTAATCAACCTAATTTGATGTGCAAAATACAATGCATGGATGAATTATGTTGTGTAGTTCTTGCTGTGATTGTTATATTGAGAACACAAGCAAAGACTGAAGAAAAGAAACAGAAAAGAAACAGACATGAATTTCTTCTGGATAATTCTGCCATCAGCTTTTCCTAATAATCTGTTTGTAGGTGGTTTCTACATGTGTATTTTTCWCCCTAATTGGCTGATACTATTGATGAGCTTTGCTTCTCACTGTCCTTGCTGTATTAGTAATCAAACCTATCCTATCRTTTCAGATGTTGAGTCACTATATTCTAATGAAAAAAGCTAACCTGAAACATACACTTTTAAAATCTTTTTYTAAATTATTTAATTGTATGCTTAAAGTAATAAAAATTTCCTACATGTGTTACGAATAACTCCTATGTTATTACTGTTGCGATACAGAACAGGCAGGAGTCAGCAGCACAGGCAGACAGATGTGATTGTAACAGAGGTTAATGTTTTATAAGTAATAGCTTGGGTGAGACTTATGGTATTAATTAACTCTTTGAATGTTTCCAGCACAACCAAAGTAAATAATTTTAAAATCTAATTTACTTATCCTCACCCTATCAGAATACTTTTGTCTTAACTGCTTTTGAATGACTCGAATTGGTCAATTTTGCTTAGATTTTAGAGGATTTCACACAGAATGGAGTATCTATTCTTCTAGCGGGGAAAAAAATTCATTGGAGTGAATGGGATGAAGGATAATCCGGACCAAGGAAAATAAATCAGCCTTTGAGGTTTGATTTAGTTCTATATTTGTGTTCTTTTATGGGAAACATTTACATGGGCCAGAATAGGCATCAGCATTAGGAAGAGTGGCAAAATTTGTGCATTGCATTAAAGATAGTTAGTGTCCTTTTGCTGGAAAGAAACAGCTGGATATTTTCTGTCATAATGTGACCAATCCACCTCTGTTGTTGTCATTTTAATTGCTGTGGCTGTTTTTTTAAGTCCTCTACAGAAAGTCTTTGTAGTGACAAGCGAACAGTTTACGCTTCATAAGCAAACATAAAGAAAGCTGCTGCTAATTGGAGAGGGAGTAATGCAGTTATGATTCCATCAACATTTAAGTTACATTGTTAAAGGACACGTTTTGGTTGTGTTTATGGTGCCATATAAAATTTTACACAGGATGAATTTGGTGGGAAAGATTTTATAATAGAAAAGACTAATTCCAGAATTATGAGGAACAGAGGGACTGAAGGGTTGGAGGGAAGGGAAAGAAAATTTTCTAACTCATATTATGATAGTGAAGATCAGCAGCTCAGTACTACTCTTCTTTCTTATGATAACTGTTACTTAACTGCTGACTTGTAGTGTAACTTTTCTTATGAAAATGGGAAGACTTTGTCACCGTCCCAGAAAGCTTTACCCTGAAGAACTGTAGCTCAGTGATTCATGCTGAAGAGGACTCTTGAAAGTCATTAGTAGTGTCCTTTAATTTCCTGAAAGAAGGGTGTCATTATCCAGTAATTGACTCTTTGGGGCTTTTATTTTTCCTTTTTTTTTTTTTTTTTTCTTTACATTTTTTTCTGGATCTGTTACCTCCCAGTTTCTGAAAATGTAAAGGACTTTGTTTTGAAGTTTCCTCTTTTCTATAAATTACGATTCCATATAGTATTTGTTGTGGATTAATAGTTTTACAGCTTTATGCCCAAGCATGTTTCTATATGCTTTGTGTGTGTGTGTCTTTTCTCAGGTGACATTTTTGGAGCCTCATTCCAAATAGTCTTGTGGGGGCCAAAGATGCTTCCTTTCCCAGTTAACTGGCTAGTTTGTCTGTCAATGATACAGTTTGTTAGTATCTGAGGAAGGAAATCGTCACTATTTATGTGGAAAGAATTCTAGAGATGACAGGGTTCCCCCCCAAAGCACTCGCTGTGTAATTACTGAAGACATTCCAAGCCACTCTAACGAAGTGCAGTGTCTGCCAGTCATTATGCACTTCTTAGAAGACCATCTGTTGCACTTCAAATGCATAAAGTTCTGCCATCATTTATTGCACCAAATAGATCAGTTCCTTTGTCTGATGAGCTGTAACTCGCGGATGGGGGACGAAAGGTAGTCTCAGTAGCAAAGTAGAGAATATTCTCTTTTGTTGCAGTATAAATGGAAGGTATTTGTTACCTCAAATTTCAAAAGACAAGCATACTTATTAATTGTCAGTGCTTTTTAAATATATATCAAATATCAATTTGTTTGACAACATTATCAATAACAGAAAAATCTAGAGTATATTTTCTCTACAGTCAGCCATAAGTATATTGTAAGTTGTTTTTTTTTTTTTTTTTTGCTTCTGGTAAATAAACCTTTCCTTGGAGTTCATATCCCAGTTTTGATATACACTGAAGCTTAAATTAAAATGATTTTATTTTAACAAAATTATCACAGGGAGAAAGCAGATACAGTATTTTTCAGGGCAGAAAAGTTCTGTTTGCAGATTTCCAAGCAGAGAAATGCACAAATTTCCTATCAGATTAAGGAGTGGTCCTATCTTTTTTTCTTCTCCTTGCTGCATAGCAGCTRATGTTCTGGCCAGAAGTAATAATATGTTAGATCTTGAATGTCAGTAGCCCCAGAGATCCTGACAAGACTATTCATGTGCATTCATACGTCTTAACCAAAACTGACACTAAAGAGAGCAGGAATTCTCATATTCCTCTTTTTATTGCCACRTATTAAACTCAAATTATCTATTAGAGATCTCTGCTAAAAATGACATATTCACCATTTGGGGGGGRAAAAAGAAGAAAAAAAAGACATTCCTGCAGTATCTAAGCAAAGCAGCTGAACATCAGGATGGTGCAGAACAGATTCTTCCATTTAAAAAAAAAAATCTGAATTATGTAGGCAGTCCTAATTATCACCACAATTAAGGTCACCTTAAAAATTTGATAAGATAAATACTAAAGGGTGGGGAAAAAAACAACCTGCAGTCACCGTGATCTTTTGTCCTATGGGAATTTCGTTGTTGTTATTTTAAATTATAAATTAAATGGTCTTCTAATTTTTTGAAACTATATGACTTGTCCTTGTAGGAATACTTGGATCCCAGTAACTTGAGCTGCTTGTTTACAGAAATTCACACATATTGTAAGTATTCTGTACACATGTTATGCTCGACATTTATACACAAACATGTAGCATTGTGTATAGTACAAGTTCTGGTAACTTTGTGGTGACTTGATCATATTGGTAAAGCTTAGTAGACATTTCTTTACATTTTATACATTTTAATCTTTTTAAAAATGGTTTGGTAGTAGTGTCTAATGCTGACTAGGTGGCTCTGGGCATCTGGCCATTTTTAGGTAGTTTAATTTGTTAAAAATTATCTTTCTTCCCACCCCAAGTCCCTTGAAACCACTTGGAGAAGAGAACTGCCGAACAGTTGCCAATAATAAGTCCTGCTGAGACCTCTATATCCTCCTGCTAGAGCAGCCTGTGCCAACTGGAGACTGACTGGCATGAATTTGAACTCTATACTGCATGATATATTTGCTTCACATGAACCAATTACAATAATTACCACGTTTGTAGCTGAAGTTTAAGCACTCATCTGCAGTTCATACCACAGGTCTCTGGCAATATGTTCAATCCTATAATCTCTATTTTTGTCAAAATAATAAAGTAGAAAATACATGCTTTGAAAAATTAGGAGAGAACGGAAATCAAAGGCTGAGGAAAGCCATTGTTCTTCATGTACTGTTGTCCTTAAGTTGAATTTCTTCCTTTGTAGCCTTTACTTCTGAAAGGTGTCATTTTCTTTTAARGTTGTCCATAGAGAGATTCACTAGGAGATGCTGTAGACTATTGATTTTTCATATTCAACAGGGATTTATCTTTTAATGTGAATGAAAAAGCAATATAAACAAGAATAATTTAGAAATGCAAACTGTATGTAAAGTCTTCCCTTTTGTGATGGTGTTTTCTCAAAATACCGTAATTCCTGTCAAAGGTTATATACTTTTACCTAAAAGGGAAAATTATCTATCCCTAACTATTCTTGGCTACATTTTTGGATGACCTGGAGTAAAAGTGCARGAATGTAATACCAGGAGAAGTAACTACAGTGTTAACTGCCCAGCTCCTTCCAATTCCCTTAAATCTGATGCAATGATCATCTCTCTCCTGCCCCTACTATTATCTTATACTTCCAGGGACTAGTTAATTTTTAAATTGTATCAGTAGCATTTTCTTAACTCATAAAGTTTATATTATACTAAGGTGAACCTAAGAACAAGCACAAACTTATTTGACTGTTCCTTTCCTAACATGAATGCACTGCATAGTGAATATACTAACAATTATGTTAAAATTTCTTCATGCAGTTTCCCTCTGGGGAGAGGAAGAGAGGAGGAAAAGGCTGCATGTGACAGATGCTAATTATGCAGCTTAATGCACTTCTGGAAGTTGCAGTGATGAGAACTGTATAAGAACGTATGTAGAAAATGGCATATTTTCAATGCCATAATGCCATTTTTTTCACTTTTTTTTTTTTATCTGCCTTTCTCTCTTTTTAAGGAGCCTCTCTTTTATTTCCGAGATAGCACCTGCAGTAGTAACCAAAGAAAACCTATGCCACAAGATTCAAAATTTATCATGGAGAGACAGGATTATTATTCACTGTGTCTTAATGTTATTTAATACAGTTTCTGCAGTGAGGAAAGTTGGTGACTTACTGCTTCTGTACTTCAGCTGCAACATGGAAGGGAAAGACTTAAATTTTCTAGTTGATGTATTAGTTTCCTCTTTTGTCAATATTATCTTGATTCTTTCTCCTCTAATTACGTTTTGGAAAAGAATGATGTTCTGCTCTTGACTGTCCTTTGGTCCTCTGTAGATGTAGCATGTAAGCACTAATGAACAGGGCCTCAGAATGCGTTTTACAAATAAGTAGACTGAGATACAGAGGCTGAGTTCCTCAAAACTGTTCAGTGAATCAGTGCTAAAACCAATGTTTGATGCTTGATTAACCCTCTGATCCAGACATTGAACTGTGCTATTTCAGGCAAGAGAAATAGGCTCTCAGCTAGTGAAAATTTGGTGCCATCCTGGAATCAATGGCAAAATGCAAGTTTACATTTGTTACGTCTTTAGCCCACAATGAGTTATCTTGCTGGCTTTCCCTTCCCTCTACCAAGTCCTGTTTTTTCCAAAGAATGCTGCCTCTTTCGGAGGAAAACCATACCCATTCTGGTGTATTAATGCCAAGTGCTGCTTACTTTATTTCCCTCTAAGTGTTGGGTTTCTCCTTGGGGAGATGTGACCTAACAACCCTGCCAGCAACGCTCCATGCACACACGGAGATGATCCCGCTAGCACCCAAAGCGGAACACGGAAACTTCCCGGGTCTCCTGTGTGCATCTTGGCGCCCACAGCAGTGTGGAGAAGAGGTTCGGAGGCTGCCGCAGAGCAAATCCTCCTGGCCCGGTCCCCATCTCCAGTCACCATGGAGAAAACCATCTGTTCCACTCGGGAAGGGGCTGGGGTTGCGCGCTGCCCTCCCCCCGCATCCCGCTCCGGGCCCAGCTGCTGCTTTTACAGGAGCAGTGAGGGAATGAATCTCCTGTGTTAAAAATACTCCACTTCTATTTAGATAAAAAGAAAAATCTTGCTTGCCTACACTGGTGTGCAAAAATAGTCTTGGTGTGAGTAAATCTTCAAAGTTTGTCTTGGTGAAAATATCTACCCTCTTTTATTGTTTCTACTCATCATATAGATGTATTTATAGAGCGTCCTTCTTTCCTCCCACTCTATCAAGGCATTTGCAGGAGGTTGCCACTCATCTGGTGCATGAGTCCTGGAATAATTTGCAGGGCCTTTGAAACATCATCATGTTGCATAGCTGTGATGCAATATGCTGCTCTTGCATGAACATATCATGTTTTAATGCGAATGTCATGTTAACCAAAACATTTAAGTGTATTTTGCCTTACTTTATATATTTCTTTTTCTTTTATGTTAGGTACTTTACCTAGGTTTATATTTATACCTAATTAATTTGGCAAAYGAAACATTCTACCTCTAATATTGTAAAATTTTACAGGGAAGATACTGCCTTTAGCACAATAGAAAATTAGTATATAATGGGAGAGGGTTTACAAGTGTCCTTTCAAAATATTTATTAAAAATAGCTGTTGCCTCGTCCCACTAGCATCTTAATTCTGCAGTATCTTGAAGCCCTCCTGCAAAGCTTAGGTATAGTAACAAAGGAACTGCCTCTGGTACAGATAGTGGACCATGCTATATAGATATGTATAAAAATATATAATGAAAACTTGCATGTGGGAGGATGGATGTGTTCCCTACAGGGGTTATGAGGCGTAGGGGCCTCCCGCGGGCACAGGGTCCCGTTGTGGTGCCCCGTGCCAAGGCGATACCGAGCGATAAGAGTTTCCGCGCTCATAGGCGAGCGAAGCAGCCGCTGCTCGGACTTTGTCCCGGGACAGCGCGGCCACCTCGGGCCCGGCGCCGCGGGGGAAGCGCGGGGCCTGGCGGCCCAGGCGGGTCTCGAACCGGCAGGCCGTTGGGCRGTCATCCGCGCGGCGCGGCCGCTAGATGGCGGCGTCCCAACGAGCAACGCGCCGCGCTCTCTAGCGCCGCCATCGGCCRGGAGGCGGCGCCGCTGCAGCCGCCGGCGGCGGCGGCGGCCATGGCGGGGCGGGCCCCACGTGACGGCGCGGCGGCCAATGGGAGCGCGGCAGGGGGGCCCCGGCTCTCGTCCCTGTGGCCGCCATTAAAGAAAAAGGGGCTCGGAATTAAACGGGAGAAGAAGCGCCCCCCCCTCCCCCGCCTTCCCTCCTCCCCCCCGCCCGCAGCGGCCGCGACGCGACATGGGGGAGCCGCGCTGAGGGCCCGAGCACGATGCCGCGGCCGGGCAGCCGCCGACAGAGGCACCGCTGAGGGAGAGCGAGGAGGACGAGAGCCGCCAGCGGGGGCTCCGGGGCACCGACTCCGCCAGAGCAGCGGCGGCGGCCGCCGCGTCCTGTCCCCCCACCCGCCCGCTCCGTCTCGGCGGCGGGGCCGGGATCCGTG